GTAAGAGGTGAGTGAAAGGAGCTACTAGTGATCATAGAAATATTACTCATCACAGAAACTAGAAGGATGTACAGAAGTGATATTTTCATTCTGTAACCCAGTTGTTTGGTGCCAGTGTCACCAAGAGCTATGATTATAGTAATCATGGTCACAGTGTGTATAGGGGGGCACGCAGTAGCACAGTTGGTTGAGCCACTATGTTCGAAGCTGGAAGGTCCTGGGATCGAATCCCAATGAGGTGGATTTTTCAATTTACCTAATCCTTCCAGCCGCACTATGGCCCTGGGGTCAACTCAGCCTCTAACAGAAATGAGTACCAGGAATATTCTTGTGAGGAAAGGGCAGTCGGTGCATAAGGCTGACAACCTTACCACCATATATGAGGTGATTGTCTAGAAAATGTGGGAACCTCAACATCTCACAACCCTATGGGCCTCCACAGCCTGTTACAGGGATACCTTTACACAGGGTTTGTAGAAAAGTCTGTATTTCAGTGGCAAGCTTGGCTGTTTATAGAGAGAAATTTAGCCATCATGTTTGCTACATAGTCAATCTTCTCTAATCACGGTTTGGTAACATCATTTAAACTTACCAAAATATGCTGAACCCATCTTCAGCATGAAATAAAGGAGAACATTTTATCTGTGATGCTAACAACACTGCAGCTAAGAGTAGAATGACTGTACCAAATGTATTGGGAACTTTGCGTTCTATGTCATGGCAGATCTATTTGGCAAAAGCAGTAATCATTGTAGCTGAATCTGACTATATTGTATACTAACAAGAAGTCTTTTCCTCAGAATTCAAAAACTGGCTCTTGAAGCACTGCAAGAGGCAGCTGAAATGTATGTGGTGCAGTTTTTTGAAGACTCTTTATTATGTGCTGTGCATGCAAAACGTGTTACACTGATGGCCAGCGATCTGCAGTTAGCCCGACGCATTCGTGGGCATACCGACACTATCAACTTCTAAGTATAATGTCAAATGTGTTTTAATAGGAAAGATCAGTTGGAATAGTGGATTTCTTTACTTCCGAACTGTGATTAAGTTCCTGCTGAACTTTGGATGACCAGCAACACAATTTTGCAAGAGAGAGGTTTTTTGGACTTGGGTTTGTCTCATTCTTATCTGTAAAGTTTCTATAATCCTTAGTCACTGAATCACAGCAAAATTTAAACATGTTCTGAAGTCTTGTTTTTTTGTATTTCTCATATCGTAGTTCTGTCAAATTACATGTTTTTATGGAATGTCTGTTGTGTGCACAAGATAGCAAGATATGTTAAAAAAATTATGATATGCCTTTACTATATATAGAAATGACCTCTCAGATTCCATATCTAATTGTTTTCTTCAATTCTAAAGGGTTCTGACAGAATTAGCTAGTTTTTGACTTCGTCCATTGCCTAGTATTCTGCAAGAACTTGTTTTGGGAGTGCCTTATCAAGACACTGGACTGCAGGTGCAGTGACTGAGATCAGTTATCCAGTAATATGATATATATATATGAGGTTCTCACGGTGGTGAATACCAAGATTATGGTTTTCTAGAATATAACTCCTTGATGTGTCAGTCCTGAAGATGGAACATTGGTACATATTTACTGAACTACATTGTGTCACAGCAGCTGCAACCTTAGGAGGACAATTTAACAGTTTCTGGTTGATTTTTGCTCTTAGGGAAATGAAAGGAGCAGAAATTTTTTTTTCAGTGACATTCATACAGAACCTTAATCTTATAATTTTGACCCACCTCTTCTGATGTTATCTTGCCCAATTGCTTTTTGCCTCTTTAACAGAATATTTTTTTTTGTCAGCATGGACACATGACAGTCCTGTTTTGTCTGTATTATATATGTGAGATGTAGCAAAATAATAATTGGAGAAAACTCATATATCTAGAAATATACTGTCATTTTTATACGTTGTTACATTTTAACAAATATATACCTACAGTCTGTATACATTTGTCTGATTTGTGTAAGTCATCAAGTGACCATTTGCTGTCAGATATTTAATGCATAAGAAGAAATTAAAAAAAACAAACAAACAAGTTTTTAATGTTAAGTCTATGCAGTGGTTTATTTCATGGCTTAAAGAACAGGTCTCCATCAGTTCCTCAAATTTTGAAAATATTGCTGGACTGAGGTTTGTTCAATGCTTTTGGTGTCTGCAACCTTTATTAGCTGGACACACTGTGTAGTCCAGCTGGCCAAACAGTGCACTTTTCAGTCCTAGTACCATTCCCCCCCCAACCCCAATTTAGAATATGGCTGCTGGACACACAGAAGCTGAAAGGTCTGAGATATGTCCTTGTTCTCTCACTTTGATACAGTATGTTTCACATGCTTCATTTGTTCTTAAGCTTAGCCAGCTCAGGTATGTGTTCTTTTTTTGTTATTGCCAATTCCAGTCCTTTCTTTTCCCGGTGTTTACCTTGTGTTCCCAACACTATACAGGTACATTTTCCATAATAATGTAGTCTTTTTTTCTCCTTCTGTTCTAGCGTTTGTTCATCTCTGAATTGAGCAACATGTAAAACAATTTGGTATATGTCTTATAGAATTGTCCTCTGAGAGATTTACTTTCCAATCTTTCTTATCTTTGTATTTTTATTTGTATGCTATATTGTTTTTATACGTAATTCAAGGGTGCTTTGGTTTGATCTTGTCCATAATGAACCATACCATCAAACAACCATATTATTACTTTCTCATCTTCCAGAAAACAGTCTTCTTGATTGTTTGCCTCTGGCCTCTCAAGCAAATGAATATCATGATATGGTGTTTAGCATATGAAGAAGGGAAAGCATATGTTGGCATTCAGTGTTGTCTTCTGTATTCATTGATTCTTAATAGAATCAGTATTTTTTTTTTATTTGCATAGTGGGGGGTTGAGTCCAGCTGGGTCGACTCGGCATGTCGGCCACTTATTGGCCTATTGTATCTGCCTCGGGTGATTGTGAGGATGGAGAATTTGGTGGAATGGAGATTGGCAGGGGAAACCGAAGTACTCGGAGAAAACCTGCTCCAGTGCCAATATGTCCACCACAAATCCCACTTGACCAGACCCTGGCTCGAACCTGGGCCGCCGCGATGGGAAGCCAGCGACTCACCACTTGAGCTATGGCGCAGCCAACGGAATCAGTAGGTTTAATGGCAGAAACAAATTCACGAAGTGCTTACATCATATCAAACATGTTTGCCATTTCATAATGCTCAGTTCTAAACCCAGCATCCCAGACCTCACATTCAAACAGCCAAACATTGTGTAGCAGTGATTTTACATCACACATTCAAGATTCTTATACAGGGTGTCCCAGGAGTTTGGTGCCATACTTCAGGAGCGTACTGAGGGTTCCCTATAGAACAGGCATGTCCAACACGTCGATCGTGGGACGATTTTTGGTCGATCTCATAGACCTATAAGGAAATTATACGTGAAAAGCATCTAAATTCACATGTAATATAATATGATTATATTCAGATTTTGAAGGAAAAATACATATTAGTCATTCATATTTTTCTGTTCTTATGTAGCTTACATGAAAACTGCTTTACATTTGTGTTAAGTGAACTGTGGGGCAGTGATGAATACAGTTTCATCCTACAAAAAGAAATTCAAGCTAATGATGACTGACCTTACAAACAATACTTTTGATCACTCTCCTAATATTCAGGACCATCTGGAAAAATATCCTAATTTTGTTTTTCAGACAGAGAAGTACGTGACCGAAATCTGTTCTATTAGCCAAGATTTTGGAAATTCTGTGACTTACAAAAAATTAGAACAGTCGTAGAGTTCTTGTCATTCCCGTTCAAATCAGATTTAAACATTAGAGAAACTGCAGCTACTCTCTGTGAAAATTACCCATTGAGCAAGGCATCTCTTGAAAATGAGATATTAAACCTTAAAAATGACATTTTTCTCAAGACTCGTGCTGGACAAGAATCGTTTTGGAAGTTAGTGCCTAGACACAAATTTCCCAACTTAAGAAGATGCAGCGAAATTGTACACCCCTGTTTCAGTTCAACTTATTTGTGTGAATCTGCGTTTTCTTGCCTAGAAATGGCAAAGAGTGAACAATGTTACAACATGACAGATGAACATCTCCAGGATAGACTGAAACTGGCCCTCACCCAATACTCACCCGACTTCCCACAGCTGGTGGATGAAATGAAGGCCCAGATGTCTCACTAATGAACAAGGTAAGTCTGTACTTTCAATGTATGTTGCTTTTATAACAAACATCATGTGTTGTGTTATTTTTACAAATATTTTTGCTTAAAGCGAGGTATGACAATAGGAGGGCATGGTAGATCACTGGCAGTTTTGACACTAAAAAGTCAATCACAACCTGTTTGAAGTTGGACATTTCTGCTATAGAATAACTTTGAAATATGAACCCATGTCTGCAAATGTAAAATAGCAGTTCTAAGGTGGAATTTAAAATCATTTCGTTTAAACTTTGCACCTCAGTGTCGAACTGCATTGCATAGAGGAACAGCCATCCACCAGCACTCGTGCCATTGCCAGGATTGTGGGGACATCAAAATCAAGTGTTTGGAGGATCCTGCACAACCAACAACTTTATCTATATCATCCAACTCGAGTACACGATGTAGGTCCAGTTGACTTCGTACCACAAGTTCAATTTTGTCAGTGGATACTGAACCAGTGTTTACATCAGCCCAACTTCATGATTCATGTGTTATTCACAGATGAAGCACAGTTTACAAGGGACGGCTGGTTCAACTGTCGAAACAGCTACGTTTGGGCTGATGAAAACCCCAACGTTACAGTAGTTGGTTACCACCAGGTGCAATTTTCTGTCAATGTCTGGGCGGGCATCATTGGCGATCACTTGATTGGGCCTTTCTTCCTACCACTGTGACTCAAAGGGCTCTTTTACAAGGTGTTCCTGGAACACATCCTTCCAACTTTTCTAGAAGACGTGCCACTGATTGTGTGGAGGAAAATGTGGATACAGCATGACAGAGTGCCGGCATACTTCAGCATTGTATCACAAGACTAGCTGGATGCTGCTTTTCATGGTCGTGCGATAGGAAGAGGCGGCCCAGTGCCTTGGTCACCCCGATCGCCAGACTTGACACCTCTGGACTATTTCGTCTGGGGCCACGTGGAAAAGCCTGATCTACGACACGCCTGTGGATAATGAATTCGAGCTGTTGGCCAGAATACTTGTTGCATGTGACGTGATCCGTGAGACACCCGGAATATTTGAAAGGGTGCACCAAAGTTTCTTTCATCGATGTAACACATACATTGAAAATGGAGGGCGCCAGTCCCAACATCTACTCTAGCAGGTGAGAGTTTGGAGGGGGTAATATGCCTGTGCATGCTCTTCGACATTGAGGCGACAAGTTTAAACAAAATGATATTAAATGCCGCCCTAGCGCTACTATTTTACGTTTGCATGGGTTCCTATTTAAAAGTTGTTCTATAGGGAACTCTCCGTACACTCTTGAAGTATGGCACCAAACAACTGGGACAACCTGTATATCAAATATAATGTAAGAATTTTTAAAATTAAAGCAAAGATTTCCAGAATATGTATGCTGGGCATTGATTTCTAGAAGGGATAGGAAGGGGATGTCCTACTAAAAAAATCTAATCAAATTCTAAAATGTCGCACAATCGCAAAATGGTACTAAATTGTATGAAGGGTAGGCATTTAATGATTTGTGTCTTCATCAGATAACAATGTGAGAGATCTTTCCAGCATTATCAATTCTTATAACAAGACAAAATAAGAAGCTATGAAATATCAATAGGTAGTGTCATTAATAGCAGTCAACAGGTTTCCAAATTCACAGTAAGATTACAAAATTCTCCAGCTGTACAATATTTATACGAGGTTTCACCTATTACAGAAGCATTCTTCTTGCTGTGATCACACATTCAGTGCAATTATCTGAATAAATACTGACTAAACTGTATGTGATTTCCCTAATTTTACAGGTAAGAATTATGGGGGCTGTAGAGAGGTCGAAATTCCTGTTCATATCTACCAGTATTATGTATATATATATATAGATACTGTACCAATAGAGGCTGCACAGAATTTTCAGTTAAGTCTACACATTTATTATTTATAGATGTATATTCAATATTCCCCACTCAGGGCATGGATGTCTGTGTGTGTTTGTCTACAGGTAGAGGCCTTGCAACGAGCTGATCACTCACCCAAGGAGTCCTATCGTATGTGTAAGATCTAGTAAACCGAAGTGAAACTGAGAGTTTCATGGAGGTAGGCCTAGGCCCAAATTGGGGCTGTAGCACCACAGAAAAAAAAAATTCAATATTCAAGGTATCTGTAAATAGCAGGGACTTTGTAGCACCAGGGCTATGCATTTAATACATGCATACCATGTATGCGAGATGTTGTCTCATCTGGAGACAAACAAACCGGAGGGGCAGATAGAAGTGCCCAAAACACGAGGAAGAAGACCGAAGAAGATATTTTAATTGAAGGAGAAAGCTTGTGATCGCATTAAGTCAGACCTGTCGTCTGACAGATTACTGATGAATGAATATCAAATACACAGACGCTCCAGGGCATTTAGGGAGGGAACGTGTATGTAGCAGTATATATTAAAATATATACATAGTCACTGTTCAGATTGCTCCCGAGTGTATGATATAGTAATTATTTTGACTGACTCTTACTATTTCCAACTGTTCCCGAAATATTCCCTTTTCGAATGTTCCCATTATTAAGTTTATTATGTTTTTCGACATATGTGAAGGATATACATAGACTTTATATGAAATGTATCCACCCCACAATACTAGTGCTCAAATATTAGATAGGGAAATCACTGATTACGATCTGAACCTAAGGAAATATCATTCAATATTCTTCTAAGCATTAAAACAAAAAACGAACACATCACTATATATCTTCTAGACCAGGCATGTCCAACTTCAAACAGGTTGTGATCGATTTTTTAGTGTAAAAACTGCCAGTGATCTATAGCCCCCTCCTATCATTGTACCTCGCTTTAAGCAA